GGTTACAGAAGTCTCCCGGAAGTTGTGGGACTAACATTAACGTTATCCCGCAAATGCACAGAGACTCCCAGATGCCCAAGTAGATGCCCGCAAATGAATGATAATCTCCCGGAAATCGCGCGTCTCCCGCCCGGTCATTAAACACTTTGCACACCCCTCTCCACGACTCCACCGCATCCCTCCCAGCTCTTCAGGTACGTCGCGCGCAAGTCACCCCCACCGCTCTTTAGGTACGTCGCGCGCAACTCATTCCATTGTTCTTTAGGTACTCATTTCTCCCGCTACCTCCCGCAAATCAACTCTGTATCCCCCGAAAATTACTTTTCCCAACTCGGGATGTCTGACGTTAGTAAGTTAGGCTATTTCTGTTGTCAGGAACATCTTAGTCAAGCTTTTTCTCCCGCATGATATTGTGCTTAAAACTATAGGCTAAACTTAGCATGTACTGTACACAACATTTCCTTTTTATTAAAGACAATTTAGTGCGTTGTAAACAGCCACCTGTCTGTAAAATTAATCAACTGATTCATATTTGAGCAGCCTAATGATGATACAGGTTTGATTTGTAGATTTATTATCAATAATCAACATCTGAATCAAAAGATATCTGAAAAAGTGTGAGGCATACTTTGTGATGTTCATCTCTCTTTTTTATCTGAAGGTTATGCATATGTGTTAGATACTAATGTGTTGTTGTTTTTTAACAGCCACAGTTCTCTATACAATAACTCAAGACCCTGTGACGGTGGCTGATTAGAGACAGATGGTGTATTTCCAAAGTTGGTGAAATGACCAAGCACACCTTCTTGGTCATATGTGGTGATAATAATGAAGGTATGTTTGATAAAGTTCTGTAATTGTTTCACAATAAGCTGAGAGGGTATTAGAGCATTAAAGAATAATGAATGACATGAAGGTGATAAGTTTTGTATTGTGGGTGAACTGTTACTTAAATAATGTTTTGCTCTGCTTTGCACCTTTTCTCTTCTGCTTATCCTAATATTTTAGATTATATTTGGACCTGAAACATCTGCTAGACTCCAGTAAAGGTGGCCTCAATACTGGACCTGAAAGGGCCTAACAAGTTGAATATGGTAAAGAAACACGCACGCACACACACGCACGCACGCACGCACACGCTTACAGAAAACTGTTGTTTATGAAGTTTATGAATATTTTTTACACTGTGGCCAATATTTTGGGGAAGTCAGCATCACTAAATGATATAAAAGATTTTAAGCTCCTCTAAATTTTGCTCCAAGTGTTGTGTTAAATTCAGGATTCTGGACAGACAACTGCCTGTTTTTCCAGTTCTAGTCATAGTGGTTAACCTAATTGTTTTTGGAGATTCAACAGTGATGTATGTGTTTTTTCTACTTTTCCATATCCTGTCACCTCAACCAGCTGGGAGAGTCAAGTTGTGGATCATCATGAAGATTTTCAAAAGGTGAGTTTAGATTTCTTGAATGTTTTATTTACTTTAAATGTTCTTTTAAATATATCATAGAATTTGATTGCAATTTGTTTTCAAACATTTTTCTTAGGAGTCTTGAAGAGTTCTTAGATGAGCATCACCCTATATCCGTGCATCAGGAACCACCAGACGAGCGATCAGCAGCTACTACTGTACATCGTCATGGATAAAAAGGTCATCCTGTGGCTGGGAAGCACATCTTTCACAGGACATGCTTGATGAGATTTCCTAGCTCCAGTTTGTTTTCACACAAGTTTACAGCATTTATACCTTCATTTAAACTGCTGTGTTTGATATGGAGGACCAAGGAAACACCAGAAGTGAAAGATTTGCACGCCAAGTTGTTTAAAATGTTATTTCAGAAGAAAACTATGAGTTCAGAAGTAAACTATGAGTGACGATATATTGAACTTTCAAATTGCTCTGATAACACATCAAGTTTGGACCAAAGGACTGAAACAGCCTTTTTGAGCACTGGTCATACATATTTTGTTGATACTGTCTGTACTAATAAAACATTTAAAGCATATTTGACATTGTTGCATTTTAAAAACTGAATGAATTGTTGAAGTGGTGAATGTTTTCAAATAAAATGTTTTTTCTTTTGTAATTTACAGTCTATTTGACCTTTTTACCATATTTACACTCAAGAGAGTTGAATAAAATAACAATATATTACACCAGGCGGTGTTAAATATAGTTACATTTTTTTAACTCTGCCCAGAGTTAAAATTAACCCTTACTTCAGTGTCAAAGTGCCAACCCTTTTGAAAGTGTTGATTTAACTTTGTTTTGAGTGGACCCCATGAGACACTTTCAAAGTGTTGAAATTAACACCCATAGAGTTGTTTTGGGTCCCCATATTTTGCTGTGCACCTATTGCTTTCGTTAGTGTTCTTATTTATTATTATTATTATTATTATTATTATTGTTGTTGTTGTTGTTGTTGTTGTTGTTGTTGCTGTTGTTATTATTATTATTATTAATAATAATAATAATATAAATCTATGAATGACAGACAATATTTACAAAAAATATTTATTTATTTATTTGTTTAGTTTTATTAAGGATTTTCAAATAGAACAAACAACAAAGGCAAAGACAATCAGACAAACAAACAAACATACCATCCCCAAGCGTTGAAAATTAAATAAAAATTTACAAATGTATGTTTAAAAAAAATAATAATGATCAAAAATTTATAAAATAAACAAAACTAAATAAAAGAAGCCAGAACTGTCCTTAAATAAAAAGTTAAAAGTTTATGTAGAAAGGAATGAAGAGGTTCTTAATGTCTCCTGAGTTTGTCCTGTTTGTGGTTGAGGTCATAGGTTAATTTTCCAAAGAAAGAAAGACTGACAACTGAGAAATCCACATGGAAATAGTTGGAATTTGAGAAGTAGATCATTTTAGTAATAGAAATTTCTTAGCCAGAAATGTAAGAGTTGTAGACAGAGGTTAGAGCTCTGAGCAAAAAGGTCTTCAGGAATGTCATTCAAAAAAAAGTGAGGGGGAGAAAATGAAACATTTTCCAATCATCTCCTGGATTGTGGAATGAACCCTTCTCCAAAATAGATGTGAACACAGGACCAAAATACATGAATAATGTGCCCTTACAAGTTTTGCAGTTAAAACAGGTCGGAACAAGCTGGGAAAATTTGATGCCGCCTAACAGGTCTAAAATAAATTTTGTGGAAAAATGTTGTTCTTTTATGGAAATTGAGGTACATTTTGTAAAAGTACCATAACTGATCTTGGACCAATCTTCAAGATTAAACAGAACTTCTTGGTCCCGTTACCATAGTGGTTTCAAGGAATCATAAACAGAGGAATCAGAGTAAACTAATGAGGCACAGAATTTAGAAAAAAAAACCTTTAAAAGAACTTACTGACAACATGGTTTCTTCCAGTTCCGATCATTCAAAATGAAATTGGCTTTGCTTTAACAGAGACTCTAGAAAATTACAAATTTGAAGATTTTTAAAAAAGTTTTCGGAGGGAATATAAAACTCTGTTCTAATTCGCTTAAAAGATTTCACAATTTCAGGATAATATTTATTAATAAATTATTTATATTATGTATGTTGCAGTATTACTATTATTATGTTGAAGAGCTATATAATTCAACAAATATTTTGTTGCAATAATAGTTTGTAAAAAACGTGTAGCTTGTGTTTATTTTTCTTTTTATTATTATTATTCACTAATTTAAAACAAAAATATTGATATTATAATGTATACCTCAATATATAGAGAAAGCATATTTTTCTTCAGCTTTTTTTATTGTTCATCATGTCTCAACTATTTTTGTCAGAATAATTGATCAATGGCATAAGAATTAAACATACTTTGATAATTATTTTTATTTTGTATTATTACTATTATTACATATTGTTTTTTTATTGTTATTATTATTATTACCAATTCATATTGTTATTATTTGCTGTTTCAGCATGTGCGAAAACAGTTAAAATAACAATAGTAGAAAGTGTTTTAAAATTTCAGGCTCAAAAATAGACATTAATATTAAAATATTCTATGATAATTGTAGTAACAACTATATATATTTATATATATGTTATTTTTATTTATTTTTTCCTGCATTCAAGTCTTGAAAAGCAGGCACACTGTAGATATGAAATATAAGAGTGATATATGTGAATTCTTCCTGTCATCTTTAATGGAGGGAACCTTCACCCAGTGCCTACATCTGTTTGTTGCTCAGAGAAGAATTATGGAGTGCAATACCAGCGAGACCTTTGCCATATTATTCTGTCACTCTCTCTTACAGATTTTCAAGCTTTTAAGGCTAGTCTTTCAGTTAGATTCCACTCACCTCATCACTTTCTTATAACGTCTTCAAACCTGAAGCTCAGCCTAGGCAATAGCTTGATTGCTTTTTTTTTGACTGTTTGATTAATCCCTTTTAATGAATTTAATCATTCAAAATGTTTGAATTTGATTTAAGAACGTTTAATTTAGTTATTAATTGTTGTTTATTAAATTATTGTTAAACTTTTTAAACCACTAACTGACTTGACATTAACAGAGTTGACATTTTCCATCATTTTGTGCTTTAGTTCAGGATGCTAACCTCAAACCAGATACCGCATGGTCTTAAACAGAATTATTTGCAGTTTTGTCCTATTATTATTATTATTATTATTTATTTATTTATTTATTTATTTTTTATTATTATTATTTAGGTTGCATCAATGTCAACTCTAATGTGAAATTTTCTGTCTGGTGGTTTATAGTGGTTCATGTCACTAGAAAAAGAGAATCATTATTGTAGCCCTAAAGTGTGTGCGTGCGTGCGTGTTTGTGTGTCTGAGAGCATTTTTTTCCCCAGTCTGTCATGATTGATTTTTTCATAAAGTGTTCAAGCTCAGCCTAGAGAATGAGAACCAAGCAGTCTAGCCGTCAGATGTGTCAGTTTGCCATGAGCTTTTACAGTTAAGTTTCTGCCAGTCATTGTGACCTTTGACACCACCTTTCTTGTTTTTGTTATTTTTTTCCATTACAGGACTGAATGAATGTGCCATAAACAATGGCGGCTGCTCTCACATATGTAAAGACCGGCAGATCGGCTTCGAGTGTCAATGCCCCTCGGGCTACAAGCTCCTGGACAAGAAGACTTGTGGAGGTAACATCAATACTGCTTCACATACTGACCTTTTGATGCTACACAGCCCTACATTGTACCCACTTTCCCAAGAGCCAACATTGCAAGCATCTATGATTTGTTTACTCTTAGCGTCATCACTTTGATAGTCGTGAAATCCCCAGATGGCGTTTGCAAGCATCATTTATCTTGTCTGAGGACACTGCACTACAAAAGCCTCTGTTCTCTCTGTCTCTCTGCTCTGTTACTAATGCTTTTCTGATGGTCCTCGCCAGACATAGACGAATGCGAGAACCCAGAGGCCTGCAGTCAAATATGTATCAACCTCAAAGGCGACTACAAATGCGAGTGTTACGAAGGCTACGAGATGGACCCAGTTACCAAGACGTGTAAAGCAGTGGGTAAGACAGTATACATTAACATCTCCATCAATCACTTTTCTGAACAGTGTGGCCTGATATAGCTGACTTTTTCCAGCCCAAAAGCACAAAAATAAAACACCCAAAATATTAAAATAACTATTTAAATCAGAAATTAGCCTAGTTATTGTAATGTGAAGTGGGACGCTGTCAAAGGAGTGTGGATCCAAATGCAGGGTTTTTTATGCAGAGAATAGTCAGGCAAGCAACAGTCAACACAGAAGCAAACAGATGTTTACGGGCAGTCAAGAGTCATGGTCAATAAACAGGCAAATGGTCAAAGTCAGGCAGCAGACAGGAATAAACATACAAACAAACAAACAAAGCAAGGGTCTAACACGGAAAGCAAGGCTTTCACTCACAGATAAAACAAGACTCAGCACTGATGTGTGTGTCTGTGCTGTTTTTAAAGTCCATCTAATCAGTCTTTGAACAGCTCCCAGCTGTGTGAGTGTAATCAGTCGTGGTCTGGAATGGGTGTGTGTGTGGTGCATCACTGGAACTTGCTGTCAATTATTGTTTCCCTTTAGATGTTGATGTTAAACTAAGGGTATTTGACATAACATACAATAGTTTAGTGTGTGTGACAAGTGAATGGAGAAAGAAATTAATTGAAAACCTCATATCACTGCAATTATTTATTGCCCATGCTTCCATTGAATCTAGTGAAATAACTACTGAAAGAAAATGTTTACAATAAATAAATGATAATTACCAGCAGGAGAGGAAGTAGTTAGATGTACCTAAATCACAGAAATAAATATAACATTGGTGACACAAACCGGCCAACGTCATCAGCATGAAATGCGTATCCTCCAATTCCGTTCGTACCTGTAACACACGCATGAAACAACACACCCACATACAAACAAATGCACACACATATACCTAAAATACACTCTGTAAGCGAACATAACACGATATACTAGCAGATTTGTAGTCCGTTAGCCATCTGCACAGGCTGGATCACTGGTGATCGTGACAGTTACTTTAATTGTCATATTTTTTTTAACCACACAGCGACCACCACCAGCAGTCACAGAATCACAATAGTAAAATTACAACATAACTGGATCACATCACAATACTACATTTACATTTACATTTATTGTTCCATAGATTTCACCTATTCGCCTATATATTGTAGATTTATTTGTTTAAAGATAATATTTAAATAGTTTATAAATTCTTTGCGTTAAATATCCTGTTAAATGAAAGTATTTTAGATGTTAGTTTCAGTCTGTTAGTTTAAGGATATCAATTAGCTAGTGTGCTCCAATGTATCTGCAGTAAATTTAGTGAGCCTAAAGATAATTCTTATGATTATCATACGATATATTGGCAGCTCATGAAACAATGACTTATTTGACACAACAGAAGCAGGCCACAGGAGTTTCAGCTTCCACAGCAGCTCCATGGATTCCTAGTATAGATTCAGGTAGATGCATAATGGCGTAAATGCATAAATTTGTCCCAGTTGGCAATTTACATTATTTTGAACAAATTGAGGTGCTCCTGTCGATCAGTGTATGTTCGTTCTTGCTGTCAATTGCAGGAAAAAAAGATCGATAAAAGTTTTATGATTATCCGCTGTTTTCCGAGTTTTACTGCAGGCGCTGCTTGTAGCACGTGCTCGCGAATGGGAGTCAGATTTGTCTGGGAGTCAGTTTTTGATACAACTTTCCTTCACCAGCTAATGCCTTTAACTTTAAAGTTGTCCAAATGATGTATTTCATATTAAGTATGTTCATAGAATGTAATCTTTTACTTGTATGAGCTCTAAATAACAGCAGAAGTTCAGTGTTCCTGAACCGAGCAAGAATGGCTTTACCTCGGCCAGTTCCGCTGGAATTTTTCTCTGGCTCTGATGCATGTTTTTACAGTGCTCAGCAAATATAAGTACACCCCACACAAATCTATCTTTTACATTCATATTTTTAATATGAAGCTATACAATATTATTTTGGGGCATATAAATTTACACACTGCACTTAATGACTATTTCTTCAGCTGTCATCCAGCCTATTGGGTGAGCTGGAAACACACTGAAGTTTTATGCAGGCAGGTGAGGCAAATGAAGGACAATAAAGATGAGCTTTATTAGGTCCACAAACCCTTTACCATTCCAAAAGCATGCCATGCTGCAGCAATACCATATGCTTTGTATTTATACAAATTTTAAAAAAAAGAAAAATCAAGAGCAACAAATAATTAAAAATTTAGTTAAACTTTTGTAGGATGTAATTTTTTTTGCAACATTTTCCTTGAATTTAATTGTATTATCTTTCACTTTCTAAATATGTTTTTCACTAAAATATTATTTCAATAAATATATCTGTTTAATAAATCTGTTTTGCTTAAATGCACAAAAATACCTTGCCCATATTCACTGAGAAAAGTAGAAAAATATTCCATTTTAAAATGGGGTGTCAATTACGCTGAGCACTGTATGTATGGATGAAATATCATTTGTTTTGTGTATATCTAATGGGCAAGGTTTGCCGTCATTATTCTGAAATTTGTTCTAGAGCACACAGTTTTGGCTGAGTTTCATAACTTGACATCCAGCTGTTACTATCTTTAAAGTCATGTTTTTGGGTTATTTGTGGCTGAATTTACTCAACATATAAGCTGTTAATTATTTGTATCCTTGATGGAAGAAATTTGTTCTTTAATGTTTTTTAAGACACTTGTTTTTTCTTATTTATTTACACATCAGTTTTGTCTAACTGTTTTATGGATGTAATGTATAATTTTTTTTCAAATCTGCTTTGTATTTGGCAAGTAAATTATTATTGCAGGGTTCTTGTTTGTCGTATAAAGAATATGGTATTGCTGCAGCATGGCATGCTTTTGGAATGGTAAAGGGTTTGTGGACCTAATGAAGCTCATCTTTATTGTCCTTCATTTGCCTCACCAGCCTGCATAAAACTTCAGTGTGTTTCCAGCTCTCCCGATAGGCTGGATGACAGCTGGAGAAACACTGTCATTAAGTGCAGTGTGTAAAGCTGGCAAGCAAAACCGTTCCCTCGGGCTAAATGGCACACTCACAACTTACTGAAGTCATTTCACTCCTCAGGAATTGCATTCTGTTGTTATTGCATTCAAGTCTGATATATCTTTTTATGTGGGTTTGATAAGTGCAACAAAAAAACTTTCTGAATCTTTTTGTAAAGTAACTTTTAAAGGGACAGTTTACCCAAAAATGAAAACTGAGTTATTTATTTACCCTCAGGTCATCCATGACGTAGGGGTTTTTGCTTTACAGTAGAACATTATTGCAGATTTCTAGCTGAAATAATGGTCATTGGTGACTTATGAAATTTAAAGGTGACCTATTTTGCAAAAAAAAAAAAAAAAAAACTTTTATAAGGGGTTTTTAACACATAATAATCGCTTAGCAACTGTCTGTGACTATTACTTGCTTCTAATAGTAAAATGTATACATTTTAGTTTTTATAATCACACTTCATAAAAGCAACAGCTGTTTTCATCCACTTATTTTTATGCGCATTAAAATGTTAATAAAAACACCAAGATGTGAATAAGTTTTGAAAATGCGCATAAAATCATTTGTGCATAATTGAGTAGGATAATCTTTTTATTTGATAAGTATGTGCATTTAAAAAAAGTCATGTGATTTTGTTTTAAGAGATCGTGGGATGATACAAATGTGTGTGGATGGACAAACCAGCAGGCTGACTGCATTTTAAAACATCTGAAATGTTGTTTTGGTCATTCTAAAATGCTGTAACAATTTCAGTATTAATGTTACTATATTATTAATTACCTCCAGAATAGACGAGAGCATCTGTGCTTCGTGTCTCACGCCTTCAAATACTATAATGCATTCATTGCTTGTTGGCATTGTCTTCCAAGGTGCTTCTGAGTAATTTATTAAATGAAGAAAAGCTTCACGCAGCTTCTTCTACTGCATCAAATTCTGTTTTTACTTTTGGTATTTGGCCCCAGTTAATCAGGAAGTTACGATTTTGTTCTCTTTGACTCATTGGATGGAAACTGCTTTAGTCACACGTCTTTTATGCAATATTGCTATTTTGCGCATAAATTGAATTCTTATTATGAATAGAAGCTAGCTTCTAGCATAGCTAGTGTCTGCAGAAACACTTTGATTTACATTGTCTCTTTGTACATGTCATCAGAGAGGGAAAGCACTGCATAATAGTGACAATCTATTCCTTAATAGCATAGGACGTCAGTCTGGTTTTTGAATCTGCAACTATGCTGACACATAGGCATTTGTAGCTCCACCCTTTTTTTGAAGCCCTGCCCTATTTTTAACCCTTCAACTGCCTGCTCTATCAAACGGTTAACCATGTTTTGACTTTTAAATGAATTATTATTGAAGTCATTTAAAGAAAGACATTTAAATAATGGTTTACACTAAACAGCATTGTTGATTTGCAAGAAATCAAACGAAAATAATGCTGTTCAACTACTACACTTGATTTTTGTTTTATTGTAAAAAAAATTGAAGAAAACATGTTAAATGAGAATCTAAAATATATTTTGTGGCATACTCAAAAAATAAAGATGATTTAGTATTTACATTTTTTTATATTTTTTTTAAATACTTCATATTTTCAGATTTTTTATAGTATATGTATTAATTCCAGTACTTTTACCATAAACCGACATATCACCCTCTACCAAGTGGTTGATATTTTTTAATCACATAATATTTAATTAAATAAATTATGTGATGTGTTGAAAAAACATGCATTGAGTGTCAATTGCAATTGTTGTTTGCTAGTTTCAGCTTGGCGCAAGGGTTGTTTTGATGTTTTGTAACACCCTGTTTAAATAGCAAATGGATTTGCGCTCATATGCCCATAGACGTTCTGGTCTAAAAAAGGAAGCGTGTTTAGGCGCATTGCTATTTTGAGGAACTATAATAGTCTGTTCAATAGATCAGATCAAAGCAGGTCTATAGTCCAGCGCAGAGCGCACTAGTTGTGTGC